TCACATCAAATTAAATCACATCACATTACATAACATGACAGCTTAAATTAAACAGAAGAGAAAATAAAATTTGTAAAACCTTTTTTCTTTCTACATATTTTAACCATCAATCCGTGGGGTTAAATTTATGAGACTTTGGTTGTGTGTGCGTGTGAAATGGAGAGAAATGGCACTTTTGACTAACACCGTTATCAACAGAAGATGAGTCGGCAGCTCAGCATACTCTCGCGCTCGCCTCGAGTCTTTCATTGAGGCACAATTAGCTCTTACTTAACATTTTGCGTGTGCTTCTGACGTTTATTGCATTGTCTAATTCATACATTTTGACTTATCCAATTTAGGATTCACAACGGACCAAGCGAAATCAGTAAAACGAAAAGCCTGAGGACATTTTGTTTTATCTCCGGTTGCTTCCTCTGACTTCCGGATCCAACAGTCCATACAGGCACCTCAGATTCGGCCACTCCTTCTCTCCGACCATCAAGTGACCAGATCTGGAGAACTGGTCAACTTTCTCTCAAAAACTGAGCTCAATGGAAGGAAGAATCACAGTTTCTTTGACAACTGTTTTACTTCCCTGCTTCTTTGCAAGTTCGCTTATCCCTTTTGCGAGATCGCATGAAGGCCAAGTCTGTACATGCGGAAAGGCCTCTGCAAATATTCGAACATGTTGATCGGCACGAATGTTCCAGAAGATCCGATCGACAGCTGGCAAAGACGGATTCGCCGTCATTTTCTGATGAAACCCACTTTCGAATCGGCTCGCAGAGGACACTTTCACTCGACACGGCAGCCAGTTGGATAATTATGCACAAAGAAATTGGCCGAAATGCCACCTTTGTTGGCGTAAACGACTGTACAAACGCGAAATCCCATCGCCACCCGGACAAAAGGTGAACACACGAACTTCATTATGCTCGACTCGAACAATATCCAAGACGGTCATGCTTCAGTGCCCTTGACCACCGACGGCCGAGTGTTGCCGGAAAGGGTGTGGCTGGTGAACGCCAAAAAACATAATCCCATTCGAAGGAAAGACATTGTAGAAGAATGTGAATCCGCCGGATATGATCACATTTGTCTCATTTCGAATGTTGGCCGTGCGGCTGTCAGCAAGAGACTTCACTTATGCAAGCGAACAAAGACAGGATGTGGACGAATTGGAACAAACGAAGCTACAGAGAAGAGGAAATGAAGAATGCATGTGGCGCCCACTCGGAGCTGGAGGTAGTAATGATGGAATAGAAAACGTCTCCCTTTGACGAGGACAGCGGCAAGACGACTGGGAATTATCGTGACCTCATCGGCAGATGATGCAGCGCGGGGTACCTTGTACGAGATGTTTCTGTCGCAGAAAAACAGTTGCCATGACGAGGCGACTAACATGAGTCTACAACCGAAGGACAAGCGTGTTAACACCGAAAGCCGAAGATAGCATGTACGAGCCCCATTTGCACAAACTGTACCAATCCGATGGTGAGGATGAAGCAGAAACTGACACGCAGAACTTTAAGTCCGAGCTGGCTCGACAAACCGATGAAGTTGGGAGAAAGTGACTGGGAAAAGTAGAGAAAAAACAAAAAACACGTCATTCCAGAGGCCAAATTGACTCGACAATCCGGTTTTGTCGCGTACCTTCCGTTCAGGAGGTAGATAATGGCTGTTGGCAATGTCGGCTAGAAGGAGATCATGAATGAGGGACATCAACAACCGGAGGTGCATGTGGTATGGACGAGAGGTCAGCGTGGATTCGACGGAGCTGCAGGACGATGGGCAGAGGACTGCTTCTCATAATCGAACAGTCTCTGCTCCAAGTCCCTTCTTCATTCGGTTTCCGGTGTTTTGAAGCCGCAAATACTATCGGAACAACTAATGCCTCAAAAAGAAAATAAGTCGCATTCGAACGTCGGCCGGACCAGATGACGAGGGCCGAATCCTCCTGTCGAGGAGTCGTTTTGGCTTTACTATAGTTGTTCGTTTCAAGCCATCACAGAGGCACTCTCATTCTATTTTGATAAATTTTGCAGAGATTAGAGCAGAATAGGAATAAACAAACCAACTGCATAATCAACGAATCAACTAATCAATTAATCAAATAAGAAATTAATAAACTAATCATCAAACCAAATAATTAACCAATCAAACAATTAAACAACTAACCAACCATCGAGACAACAGCCCAAACAGAAAACCAACTAACCAACTTTTCTTTCAAAATCAAATGCCAGGTTACGTTAATCATTTCAGTGATCTTTCGAAACTGTCATTCTATTTTGATAAATTTTGCTGAAATTAGAGCAGAATAGGA